AGAGCGGTTTTTAATGCATAAAGAGAGATCGTAGATACAAAATGATACGGTAGGTATAAAATAATCTATTAGCTATATTAAATTTGATGACGAATGCGCGAGCGCGAGACTAAAAAATTGTATTATATTATTTTATTTTACGTGCAACAGATTTGAAAAAAGAAAATTGAAGTAAAGAAGTAATTGGCCTTTTTTTCTTAAGTATAAGAATTTTTTTTCCAACGTATTTTCTAATGGAACATAATTAAGACTTAACAAGGCAACGTGACGCTTTTGGGTTCAACCAGTTTTTGGAGCAATCACACCTACCTGCATAAATGTATCTTTATCTGCTTAGAAGTACGAATGGTGTGTTTGTTTTGTGTGGTTGCTTTCCTTTCTGTAGATGCTATCCATTTTTGGATCTTTGAGTTGAAATTTGAACTAAACTAAAGTGTTTCACCTTGTTCTTTTCTCTTTATTTCAACGCCAACATGCATCCTCCACACCCTCATTATTCATCCACTCAATCTACAATCGTAATACAGGATGACATCAATTTCTTGTCAGCCATGCGTCATACATTTCTAATGAATCAGAAAATAAAAATAGAAAACTGGTTTATAATTTCTTTTATTATATTGAAAGTACAAACCATTTAATATTTATTCTTAAATAATTGCAAGCAACAAGTGTATTAAATATGCAACAAACTTGTTAAACTATCACGCATTCACATTAGTTTTTGATCATTAACTTTTAAAAATGTGTAAAATATGTGTACGAAAAAAAATATTTACATTACATATTTAAATTCTCTTCAATCAACTTTCTTAAATTAAATTATAATTTAATTGCAACTATAAGTTACATTTAAGATTTTTTCATATTAATCGAAGACTTACCAATGTTTTGTAAATTAGTCGGTTGATATTAAAATTTGTCAATATTGAATTAATATAAAAAAAAATGACCAATTTTTGTTAACAATGACCAATTGCGCAATTAAGGTGCACCATTAGATGTAATAATCGACTAGTGGAGTTTGCAAAGCAAAGGATCCGTTTTCATCACATCACCCCTTTGGAAAGTGAGAAAAGGAACGCAATAAAGTAACAAAATTTAGTAGTTGAAGTTCACCAATACTAAATGTTATTTAATGGATAGAAAATTTGGAGTCCAAAATTGTGGCTGTGTACCATTTCAAGCACCAAGCCAATGATACTTAAATGCAAAACGGCAAAAGAAAATATTTCAGAGAAAAGAGTGAATAATCACCATACATATACTACAACATTATATTTGTCAACATGGCCACTTTTTTGTGTCAGTAAAGTCTTACCTTGCTGCAACATCTACGCAGAAAAATGGGTCTTTCATGCACTCTTCAGAGTCAATAGGATAAAGTCCAAAAATAATGATGCATTATGTAAGACTAGTAAGCCTTAAAAGTATGGAGAGAAGAGGAAGAATAAGGTGGAAAAATTTTGCTACAGATTCGTGTATGTAGACTACTTTAGCTAGCAAAAGAATCATGCAACAATTACTCGTATCTGACATCAGTAATGACATGGTCACAGAGAACAATTGAAGAAGAATTAGGACTGCCTAATTTGAAAACAATCTTCTTATGGCATTGGTGTTGATGGATTTTATAATGTCAATGTGCTTTAACAAATTAACCAAATGTCAATTTCCTTAGAACACTTAGCTTTTTTGACAGAATAACACTGCAAAAAAACAGATGTTGACCTTGACACCTTAATAAGAGGTATATTATATGTGAAATAATGGAATCAACCTCAAAATCATAATCTTTGGGTAGGATGGATTTAAAGCTATTACTTTAGGCCTCCGTAAAAAAAAATATTTGCATCAAAATTTATTTTTTGTATTCTTAAAAACTTACTTTAAAAGATTCATCTCTAAAAGATATATAAATATATTAGTTTTTTCAAAGTCTATTTCTAAAATATTTTTTTTATCAAAAGATATTATTATTAATTTTTTTAAAATTTTGCTTTAAGATTTGTTTTATACTTTACAATGTATTGGACCAGTCCAATATGAGATAAGGGATAAAATCAAATAAGTAATCCTTCTAAAACTTCTAAGATGACACATTTACTAACTTTCATAAATGTTAGATTTAATCAATTTCATAGTTGCATTTGAAAGTTTTTATAGAATATACTGTCTACAAATTTTCATACAATTTAAAAATTAATTGATATTTCTATTATGTTTAAAATATAAGTACATTTTCTCGTTAGATTACTTATTCAACGATCGTAAAAGATGCCATTTATAAAGTTTCACACTTGGTTTCTCATAAGTTGAGTCAAATTAGGCCCAATAAATATAAAATCAAATGATTAAAAGATTATATCGGATGAACTAAGTTGTTTAGTTTTAATCTAATTTAAATCCTCTAAACCCAGATTATAATACTTGAAGGGTTATCACAAGTATTGGCTTTAAATCCTTGCTTTATCAACTTAAATGCATTAACTGTTTAAGACAGTCTGATACATCCTATCCATGTGAAGATCGCTGAAAATTGGAGTCAATTCAATCAGAAGCCTTTTCTCACAGGGACAACCTACAATGAAAATACATCTAGAAAACCAAGCTTCTACAAATTATAAAAAAAAAAAAAAAAAAAAAAAAAAAA